ATCCATGTCCCTCCAATGTTATGGATCACATAAGAATGAGGTTAGCTCAAGGAACAGGAGATATATATATTTATAAAGCCATATATATTAAAAAAGCCATTTTGCACTCGTCTTGTTTACATCTGCCTAAATAGATCGTTCCCTATAAGACTGGACTTCATTAGCACCTTGCTTTCTTACACAATCCGTACATTTATTTCATGTACTAGTAAGAAAGACTTCAGGATTATGTTGGATTTTGAATTCTAAGCTAAGCCATCAAATGCTGTCACCTTTGTAATACCTGTTAATGATGGCTACGTAACAAAAGTAACATTTTGTTTCCTTTTTAATTTCAATTAGAAAGGTGAATGATCAGTAGGGTACAGACTTGGCACAGCGCTGAGACAATTGTAGCAGGACCTACTTCTCAGCTCCACTTCTTTGGGGCTTTTACTACGTATGAGAAACTGCACTGCTCTGCACTTGGCTCAGTAGAGTGTCATTTCTTTTGCAAATATCTTCAGGAATATAATGAAATCTCTGATTCTGTGACAATTAACATTACAGAAATGAAGCTTCTTTGCCATTATTTTCATGCTATCCAAATGCTTTACGAAAACCCTATTAGTTATCATTTGTTGAAAGGGTGTGGGGGTGGGGTTTGGGTTTTCTTTCCTTTTGTCCTTCTATGCATCAAAGCCCATAACAACTCCTTTACTGTTATCCCTTGCTGCTGAGTTTGAATCACACTTGTGCTTGAAGACTGGTGAGAAGCCACAGAATAAAAATCGATACTAAGTAGTTTTATTCTGCATTTCCTGATATTATTCTTGCTAAAAATATCTTCTGCCTGAAAAAAAATTCAATAAACATCAGTTTTATCATCATGGCTTTGATTTTCATGCTCCAGAAAAATCTGCAAAGCAATTGGCTCCACCTTATGCCAGATACAGAGGCTAGAGCTCAGTACGTCCCATCCTCATCATCTCAGGCGACAAGAAAGCTGAATACCACGGTGAATTAAACCCTACTTTCCTCTCCTGGCAGCTTAAAATGAGCCCATTTGGTGAATATTTAGCAAGGACACAAAACAAAACAAGCATGCAGCCAGGATTTCACTCTTCTTCCAATGTTCATTGCACTGTGATGGCTATTGACCAGTCCGTAAGGAGGTAATTCACTTCCAGGACAGTTCAGTTCAACAGGATTTTTGCCACCAGCTTCAATGAGACTGGAGTTCCTCACCTTCTCGCATTTTTTTTTTCTCTTTATATCCCTTGATTCCCCTTCTCCAGTTTGCCTTCCTGCTTTATGGTTTTCAAAGAAACTGGATTCCAGTTTTACCAATTCCTTTTCTTCTTTCTGAATAGGATGGAACTTTTTCCCATCCTCAATATGCACATAAAATGTAAAAGGATTCTCATTTCCATGGTGTCATCTCAAATCTTTGTTTCTGTGATCCACAATTCAGTTGTGAGATAAAAAGAAAGTATTAGTTTAAGAAATAATGTTCCTAATCTCCAAATGTTCCACTGTCATAGACAGGACCATAGTGCACTGGCTTTTGTGAAGAGCGTATTTACAGGCAACAGAAAAATCATCATACGCAATGAAAACAAAAGAAAATCAAATTCTAGTAAACAGTTCACATTGAGATCCACAGTTCGCATCAATTTTACAGATTCCTCTTGTGATTTGAATTCTGAAATTTTCAGTTAGTTCAATCAAAACGAAGATGTTGAAGGACGTGTCCAGTGAGGATGACGTCCATGGCAACTCTGGGAGTTACTCATGCGTGGGTAAACCTCAAACATCCATAAACATGTTCACCTTTCAGCTGAGTGTTTGGAACAGATTTGCAATTCCCAACCTTAATCTCAGCAAATATAAAATCATATACACATGTAAATCTGCATTTGCAGATACCAGTATCTTCCTGTGTACACACAAAACATATTATAATGTTTCTCTTATACATAAGCAGTAGAAGCTTCATTTGCAAAGAATTTTCATGTTACATAAGCAAAAACAATGTATAAAAACAGTACGTGGGTAATTAAATGGAAAGCTTCACTTAAGGAATATAGTATTTTTAATTCTTAATAGACGATTCTCTTGCTGACAGTAAGAAAATATTTTAGGAGCTGTGAAAACAGAGGCTGGAAAATACCTTTTGAAAAAGCATATTGCAGAATAGATGTTATGTTAGGCAGATCCTATATTTTTCCCATGGAAGTTCTTTCTTCCTTAAGGTTATTCAAGGAAGATAATAGACTACGGAAACTAAAGTTGAAAATTTTATACCCAACACATCAGGTAAAATTTACATGCTAATTAAAGCAATAAATTAAAAAAGAGCTGGTTTTGGCAAATAGGAAGCAAGGTGGTAGACAGTTCAAATATGTTTTGCAGGAGTTCACGCAAATTACATTGCTCTAGGCTTCATGGTCAGTTAAAGCTAACCTCCTCCTATAAAACTTTTGCAGATATAGATCTAGGGTGTATTTGCATTACCCTAAAATAAAACCATTTTGTCATTTATGCTTCAGAATAAGTAACCTTTAGATAATAAACCAATACATAAATCTAAAACATGCGCAAGACATTTTCTAAAATTTTAGAATTCTCATTTTTTTAGACATCTTTCACAGTATCCCGAAAAATACTATTTTGAGTAAAGTTAGTTTAACAGTAATGCACACAGGATTTCACAGAACACACTACAAGGAAAATCAAACTTCTACATCCATTATATTAATTCAGCACACTAATGCTATGGATTTTCTAGTATGATACATGTTTTCTTCAGGTATGCAGTGTAATCAAAACCTCCGAACACTACTTTCTTCTGCTGTGTTGGCTTTCCGATCACTGAACAATTCTTTCGGTAAAACAGCAATGCATGAATGACCTAGTTTTACTGTACGTGAATGCCAAAGACCAAGTGTGTATCAATACTGATTAACAGGAGTTCTAATTGTAAGACCAAGCTGTTGTATATTTTATCTTCATTACAGTGAGTGTTTCTGGCAAGACCACAACGCATTGAGGACCCACTGTGGGTGCAAGAACTCTGTGACAACTCTGCAATGCACTGCCTCAAGATACTGCCAAACACAACCAAATGCAAGCACAGAACAGTCCAAATAACTTCTTAGGGACCACCATCAACCACCACAACAAATTTACTGTAACTCTTAAAAAAACTCATTGGGCAAGATTTCCCACTTACCACTGTTTGAGGTCAGAACTTCAGCTGGAGTCTGACTTCTAGTGAAGCTACGCAGATGGACATGGACGTCAGCTGGGGATCCGATGCATGGTTTCCCGTATGTCACCGTGCCAGTGAAGAATGAAGCAAGCAACCTGTTATTTCAGGCATGCAACACCAGCGTTTCTGGACAGATATACCTTACAGAGGTCTACATGCTACAGCTGCAACTAGATGGCAGCTTTGTGATGCACCGCTACACCTTTGGCAGTGGCTTAAGCTTTTGCGCCAGGTGGCTGACACGCTCAGGGACCCTGCCTCGAGCTCCACCTCGCTCCCCACACCCTGCTCTGGCAATGGCTTGGTCCCAAACCAGGAGGCCGTTCCCAGTGCCAGGAAAGACAACCAGCTGCTGAAGCAGTCAGTGCCCATCAAATCAACCTCTCCTGCATCCTCCAAAGGAAAGGTGCAGGCCAGACGGATGTCTCCTGTGGCACAGTCTGGTCTATGGGCTCCTGTCTGGATTATGTTGGCTGCTCTAACACACGCTGGTCTGAACTCAGGCATCGGGGCTGAAGACACTCAACCCCTGCTCCCCCAACAAGCAACACAGAAAGGTAACATATTTAACATATTCTACTGTCTTAATATCTGCTTCAAAGCTACAATTATGAAAAAAGATTATACTTGAGGCTTACGCCTGATTAAGCTGCCAAGGCTCTACCACTCTTCTGTAGCAAGATACTTGGTGCTATCATACCCTGCAGCACCTTAGGATCTGGCTCCAGACTGCTTAAAGCTCTTGGGAAAATAGAAGTAGGGCAGTCAAAACAACAAGAAGACAAGGAGCAAAAAAATTTCTGTTGAATAAAAGATAAAGTGGTCTGATTTCTTTTTTTAATGGAATGTGCTGGCTATCCTTTTTCCCTGTCATTTTTTTTTTTTTTTTGTTAATGGAGATGCTGGGTGTAGGGTAAGCAAGGACACAAACAGGGTGGTCACTAAGAGTACAGGCTCACGAAAAGGCAAGAGCGGAAAAGGGACCATCACCTACTCAGCTGTGATCCACAGCAGGACTCCGCCGACCACAGAACGGCTAACGTGCAGGAGGACAGCAGGCAGGTAAGAAAACTTGTATTTGTGCAGGCCCCAACAAGCATATGACTCGTAATCTTCATGCCCTTCGCAGATTTGGATCTTCTTTCCTTCCTAACAAATGACTCTCACCCCTGAGGTGAATGCTTTTGTTGGTACAGATTTTCTTCATGAGCTCTCTCTGGAAATTGGCAGGCTAAGAGACGTTTTTGTTATCACACTTCATGAAGCACCCAGAAATCAGATCTTTAAGGCAATCAATTGTAATTATGTAAAATGTTAGGCTACATCCAGCTCTCCAGCTTTGCTCACGCTACTGTGACTGCATGATTTCAGTGGAACAGATTCTGACCCTTCTCAACAGAAATAAGATCAGAGTTTGCCCTAAAATTAACTTTCAGGGAACACAAGAAACTACGCAAGAAAGAGAATGTATTTGAGAACATTTTTAATAAATAATGTGACAAAAATTACTTTTCTGATTATTGGATCCTCAGTATGCAAAATTATGGCTAAAATATGAGGTTTCTTACATGAACATAATGAAAACATTAATCACATGGATTGTTCCTTTAGTACTGCACACCCTTTCTATGGAACCTTTCTTTAAAAATTAGCTAAATGAAAAATTTCAGTCCTCGGTAAACACCAAAACACTTTTTTTTCTCGGTAAACACCAAAACCCTTTTTTTTTTTTTCTTCTTTTTTTTTTTCATTGGGGCTAGTCCTGATAGCTGTCAATAAACAAACACACATTTTTCCATTAACAGCAATGACAAAGAAATTTTATAATTACAAAAAAGATCATAAAATCTACAGACAGAGGACATCATTTGGCAAATTCAATGCAACTAATGCCTCTATTTCAGCTTTAATGATAATCCAATGTTGAGAGAGGCCACAGCAAAATTGATAATTTTGTGTAAGTCCGGGAAAAGTGAGAAGTGTTTTGATTATGGCCCACATTTATGTTTGTTACTTTACCATCTGTCATCATTCAAATATTCCAAATACAAACATAAAGCATTAACAAAAAGATGAAAAATATCCCAAACAAATGCTTAACATTTTCAATAAGACAAAAAAAGGTTAATAGTTACAATGGTTTACAAACAAAGTCTAGTGATTGTGCTTTTAAAACCAAAAAAAAAAAAAAAAAATAAGCAGTGCATTACAAAAAATTAATTGCCAAGATCAAATAAAACTTCTTTTAAGTGGCACTTCTTCTTTAAGGTGAATTGACACAAGTAGAGGTCTGAGATTTGGGCCAGTAACAGTGAATGATATTACCCAATCATTATTAAAAATGTCCATTGATTTTCTTGCTTATTTTCATAAGCATTGTTGAAGCTGAAAATTAGAAAAAGTTTCAGATAAACTTGCTCATGCCATGCTTGGGCAAATAGCAATCACATTGGCTTACCTCTTGCCTATCCCAAAGGACATTTTTAATAAGAATGTACTTAATGATGAAAATAGAAAGACAAATCAAAGTACCACAGGGGATTTAAAATGAGTACATATTTACAATAAGAGCCACCTCATCCCAAATTAATTTTCCTTGCATTTGTAAAACTGTATCATCTGCAAAAGCTTAGCAAGAGACCGGCAGAAAACAAGACATGCAGTCTGTATTGAAACTGCAAGATACCATTTGCACTACCTGCAGACTACAGTGAAACCCCTAGGATAAAAGAACGTTCTGCATGGTGTTCACTTTGGGGAACTTCTTCATCAACGCTGTATTACTTGCAATGTTATCGACGGGCTCACTGGCGTACCGGCAGCGTACTAGGCACCGCCTCGCGGGGGAGAATCCTCGGGATCCCAGGCGCTGGGCTCCCGTTCTGTTCTAATCCTGAAGCAGCAGCTGGCCCAAGTACCACGAAGAGCAGCTTACCTGCCTTCTCGGGCAGCGGAGGTGATGCACCGAGCGTTACGGAATAGGCAAGGGCTGCTCCTAATAAGGAGGGTTTACAAAGAAAGAGTAAAATAAAAACCAGCGTTTTGATGGTATGAAGAAAAATGAAAAAATTGTACACTCTGATTGCACTGAACATTATTTCTGGCGTCAAACATCATCAGACTTGAGGCATCTTAAGTGATTTTTTTTTTCTGATTAGATTTTAAAAGCCTGTTACAGTACATGTTGTCTTCAGCTTTCCGTTTCCTGTATTAAAAAAAAAAAAACAAAACAAGACACAAACGACTACATGTTAGAATTTATTATCTAAAGTTTGTTTCATAGATTTCTTAGAGATTTGTTACCTTTAAATAACAATTACTACTTTTAAATACGTGCAGCAACATGCCCGCATGTTGGACATCCTTTCTACAATCAGGATTTAAGTTGAATCATTAGGCAGAAAAAAAAGAAGGAAAAAGTTCATGCCTTAATATCTAATAAAATCTAGAATGATAAACTTTCAAAATATGTGAAAGGCAATGTCAAGGTGTTCTTAGATGCTCTAATGCTTTGTTTTCACTTTTGAAAGTGGACAATATAAAGTGCCCATTTAAATATTGTATTTCTGTGAGTGCTGTTGTTCCATAGGTTTAGTGTGGTGAGTTATCCTATGCGATGTATTACTTGTTTTTTATGTTTTTGACACATTCTTAAAGTTTCCTTTCTTGGATTGCAGGTAACATTAACAGACAGACAAATGTACTAATTTTTCTGAAGAGAAACATTTGTGGTTCAAAAGTGTATTTTCTTGGCATCTGTCTAAGCACAGAATATAGCCTTATTTTAGACATCTTTAATAGCACAGCCACAGTTACCTCCATCTCTTCTTCTTCCTCTTCTCCTTGTTCATATGCTCCCAGTACTTGCATTTCTGCAACATTCCTTCGGGCTATATTTGCTTGATCTGCCCTCTGTCTACCTCCTGATCCTCTTGATGACATAGAGCTGGAAGAGCTGGGGTCTCTAGGATTATTTGATGTTGGAAACGTTGGTCTAGAATATGGCAGGATGTCCTCTGTATAATTAAATATATACATTGTTATGCTTACAAGCCCAGAGATAGTGATCCTAAAATGTCTGCATGAAGTTGATTTATTTTACTTTTTACGATCTGCAGCAGGTTTAAAGTGATGCCTGACAGGAATATGAAATACACTGTTTCCATTATAGCATTATAGAAGCTTTCTCAAGGAAATTTATAGTATTCATGTGGTAACATTCACCACAGAAAAACTATTTCATGATTACTGTCCACTTCATTTCAATTTCTGATCATTGTTCTATGTTCTAAAGGAAAATGAAGAAATAATAAACCTTGCAGTATATCTTTGATATGACTGAGTAGTAGGAAATAACAATACATGCACGATACCTGCAAGGAGCTCACGGCATCTAAATATTAGACCCTGTATTTCTCAAATTGAGTTTGAAACAAAAATTAATGGGCATGGTTTGAAATTTCAGCGTCATCCTCTTGAAGTTCTAATAACTTATGTCTATAGCAATCGACTGTAATCAGTACCCATCTGTTTCTAATGTGCCCTTTTAACCAACTTACTGCCCAATCACCCCTGATATTGACCCTGGATACCTGTAGGAAGAAAGGCCCAGGCATTTGTATGTCTCTGTGTTGAAAGCCTCAGTGAACACTTAGCAAATTCCATTAATCATGTTTCATTAATTAGTAATCTTACCAATTTCTATAAACAAGGGATTACATTGATCAGGTCCGATTCATATAATGCCATGTCAGTTAGCATTTATTACTAATGCATTATTACTGTGGCTTTCTTATTTTTCAAACAAGGCCAGGTTTACAAATAGACAAAAATGGGTCAAGCACCAATCCTTTGGTAGAAAAGTTCAATATCTGACTTACAGATCTAACATCTGACTTTACCCATTTCCCTTGTAAATTAGATTATAATTAGATAGATTAGACATAATTAGACTATAAATGTATGGTAGGGGCAAGGACACTGATCCTTACAGCTCTCGAGGAATATTTCTGTTTGGGCTTCCTCAGAATGTGCTTTAATACATGATGAGTGCATGAGGAAAGCAAGATAGAAAATTTATGTTTTTCGTAAGCTTTTGTTTCCATTTTGCCCTAATGAGAACCTGCAACGTGACCTGTATTAGCACCTATGATTACAATAAATGGTGACAATTCAGTAGACCTAACTTCACTCCCACCATTGGTGTGGGAGACCTGGCAAGGGCTGCCTCTTCCCTGTGATATCAAAACACGAAATACTTCCTTTAACCCAGAGCATGCAAAATAACCTTGAAGAAGATGAGTTTTTGCTGGTGTGCCTTCTCGTTTTGGTGCTTTATTTCCTCGCAGTTTCCCATCGGTTTGTGGTTCCTGTGACTCTCTCCGCTCTCCCGAATTTGTCCGCACGTCTGAATGCTGTCGCCCATCCACCCCGTCCCTCCCCTTGTAGCTCGCTCCTTTCCTTTCCGCAGATCTGTCTGTCCTCGCCTCTATGGAAGCAAGTTTTGGCAACATGACTGGCCGCACCTCCAGCTGTGATTTGGACTGGGCGGTTGGTGATTTTATAGCTGGAGGTGGCACAGGAGGGGGTGGCAAGTCTACAAAGTTGAAAAAGAATAATAATTATTACAATGACATCATACACTAATGAAATTAAGGAATAATATTTAACTTCCACTGAAGAAACAGATGCCCTATTTACTTTCAGCCCTCCCCTGCCCTTCTCTCTCCACCCCAAAAAGTATTATGTTACTGTTACAATTGCTGACGTGTATTTTTCCAACCCTGAGCTTCTTCAAAAATGTAAAGTAATGACCTCTCTGCCTTCTCAAATCACAAAACCATTAGAAAAAGCTGTAATAAACTTCAGGAACTTGGATATTAACATATCAGTTATGGATATAAACACAGAGTTAAAGACAATAATCTATCTTTGCTGATCTTTATCAATTTTGATAAGTCCATTCAACAACACTGCAGCTTGTGTTACAGTTACTCAATGTCTTCAGTGTGTTGAGCATTAAAGCAAGTTGGCTGGGGTCTAAGAATGTATACTGGATGCACTCCTGATATATGTAAGGATAAACTATATTAACTACTGCATTCTTCTCTGAAAATAATAGATTAATATAACATACATATCCCTGACGTCTGTGGGTATTTCATGAGGTATAAAAAATCCACACTCTTCCAATGAAGTAACAAGCTCTCGGGAACAACAACAAAAGACACACATGACTTTCGAATTTGTCTCCTTAAGTTAGCACAGATTCAGATGTTCTAAAATTCTGTATATTTTTAAATAGTATTTATAGGGCACACATGTTTTACTTGATTAAATTTTTCTATTCCTGCCTGTATAAACTGTTCATCGGTGTGAAGCCAAAAAACGTAACAGTCAAACAAGGAAGTGACAGCACAAAAGCGGTTCACCACAAAGCTGTAGGAACAAACCACATGCATATAAGAGAACAACAGGTTAAAAAAGTGAGATGTGAAAGATGTTTATGAAGTTAATATTCTCAAGTGAGACTGCTAAAAAAAATAACAGCACTATTAAAAAATGTAACGTCAGCATTTTATAATAGTGTGCAGTCATTCTTTCTACTTGCACAAAAATCCTGGAGCAGCTGTGTTTTTCAGACACCATCACTATATATACAGCTAATTCATGGTCTATTTAAGAGAACATTTCAACTGAAAATGAACTAAATTGGGCCCAGAATAAAGGTAGTACTCCTGAATAAGAAAAAAGAAGCATCTAACATACATGTATAAATTCAGATATGGCAGCTACCAGGTATTTCCGGGAGGTTTTCCAGTGACACAAAGCACAAATGACTTGATCTAGCCCTGTGGAAAGGTGTAGCAATGCAGAATTCAGTGCTCTGTGCAGTGGGCACCATCCTCCACCTTAAATTGGTGACATAATTCAGAATTGTCCTTGACCTGTTTTAAATAAGACTGGCAATTTTCTCAGTTGTCTAGACAGGGATGATGAGGAAGAAAGATATCATAAAGTTCATTTCCTAAGGTTGGACATACTTCAGGTAGCTGAGATCTGTAACACCATTCTTGCTGCAATAACTCCATTGTCTTGGTAAAAAAAAAAGACAAAAACAAAAAAAAACATAAAAAAAGAGGAAAAAAAAGCCCACAAAAAAAACCAAAGCAACCAAGAAGACTTCTTGTTCTAATTTCTGGCCTGAAGAAGCAACCAAATTCATTTAACAAGAAACACAGAAACTTCTTTCCTTCCGTTCCTCTTAGCTAAGCACAAGTTGGACAACTGGCCTTATATTCCCTGCAAATTGTGTAGGATAGTTTGTTTTTCAAACTCTGGCAGCTTGGGGAACATCAGTTTCAGAGAGTAGCTAAAGGTAAACAGTTGAATACTGACACTTAATTTTAAGCATCTACTTAAGACCATTTCCAGATGTCTTTTAAGAAAAAGCACTGTTATTTCGAAAACTTGAGAAGGCATAATGTAAATTTGCTGGAAGCCTGGATATACTAAGTGGCTGAATCAAAATAGTTTTATTTATGGAGTGGAAATTATTAGGCTATAAAGTAAGAACAAAGACAGATCTGTGGGCAATGGACAGAAAAAGAGGTAACTTCTGATTCAATAAGATATGAAATGTAACAGATTTTGGCAACAAAGCACAGAATCATTTATGTTGCATTCCTTTGTTATCCATAACACTTTAAACATGGCTTACAGTGGTAACCTCTGTCCAATACACAATCTTAGCAATGCAACTCTGTAACTCCACACATCAGAGCAGCATTCAGACTACCTCCTTTCTGCATCTAAAAATGCCCTGTGAGCTCTAGCCACCAAAGAGCAAACCAAACCACTTTCACTGTGCTGCCTAGCCCTGCAGATGCTTAAATACAATATGTGCCTACAAGCATTGACATTTGGATCACAGGGCTCCGTAGCCATGTGAGCTTAAGTGACAATACCTGCTCCAAAAAATCTTGGTCTGAAGAAGTATATAACCTCTTACAATTCAACAGCCAGCTGAAAATTCATGTGGAGTCTGCCCAAGACTTCAGAATAGCATATGGCATGTTCCTTGAAAGCCCAGTGCATCAGAACATGTCAGATCCAGCCCAAAGCTTTTCAAGCACAATAACTGCTCTTCAGAAGCAAAGCTGGAGATGGTGATTGTTCCCAACTTTTGCACAATACTTTCATTGATTACAGAACTTGGTCAAGATTTAAAAAATATGATAAACTCTTCATTAACCTGAGGAGATCCGAACAATATTTTCCTTTGTCTGGTAAACATCCTTCTCACATGTCTTCTCTCAGAAAACGACACACTGAATCAGAAGTAGATGAAGATACTCAGAAGTGTAGGCTTCTGGAACCACAGTTGTTCCTGCAGTATCTTGTGTCTCACATTCCCCACTCAGTGTCTCTATTAAGTTATCAGAGCGCTGAATAGCCCTTCTATTGAGCCTGCTGATGTAAAGGGAGTGTAGGTACTTAATACCAAGCCTTTTCAGTCACCCTTGGAGCCGGACTCCAACAGCTGTGGCACAGCAATTCACTGGCTGAATACCAAAGGCAAGGAACAGGATCTTTCCTGTAGCCTATGACATACAACTTGGATCAAGCTACTTTATTCAAGAATCCTATCTAGCTACACAGGACAATGAACAAAGTGCTGTTGAGTCTTGACTATGAAAAGGAAAGATGCATTGATATAAAACGTTTCATAAATCGGCAGTAGCTCTATGGTACAATAATAACCAAAGATAAGTGATATTCTCTTTCAAAAACACTTTTGCAACCTGCAGGGAAACTATAAAAATCTTCATTATAACACAGTATTCCTCGCTGAGAAGAATCCTTTACAGAGGAAAAAACCCCAACTTTTCAGAGGTCAACACTATTACACACCTGTGGTATTTATTTTAACAGCTCAGATCAAGAGAAAATCCAGATTTGATTTGCCTCCTTGAGTACAAACTGGCACACTTCTTATTAAAAGGAAAATGGAAGCTTCCATTGTAAGGAATAAAAAATAAATCACAAAGCAACACCAAACCAATATAAAGAACTCAGAAGTGTTTGTTAAAAGTTAGCTGTGCTCATGTTTAATTCATGTCTACGTATTACTGTTGTACTGCCTCCCACTTAACTCTAACAATGGATGCCACTTCATAGCACAAGCTACAGGGGAAACCTTCTATATATGTCATTTGAAGGGAACAATGATAATTTTCTAAATGAGAACATATACAGGAACTATGGGATAAGCAAAACACCAGTGGGTTAAAATAATCGGCTAAGTTACTTTGGCACTGAAGTGGAGAAAACACAAATAAGCACGAAAAGATGAATTGTAAGTAGTGACAACTGAGGGAAGTAGGCATTATTAGGCAACTCTCTCTCTTAAGCTCTACTGGGCTGTAGATTTCTACAGTCATACCCTGAAGAAAATAGCAGAGTTATAGATCTGATGCAATATTGGAGAAGATGCAGCGTGAATTTTTTTCTGTTGCATATTTATGCAGGAATGTAAAACTCAAGATTTTTCCTGACTTTGTGAAGCTTTAAGATCATTTAAGATTCTGAGATAATTAGCTACTATTATTCATGTACTGAAGTTATTTTCATGCTTTATCTTTAAGAAACATGGCTCAAACTGCACATAATAATTGGATGAATAAATAGATACAGCAAAGCCCAATATGATCTATAAAAGAAGTGGGTTGTTGGGTTGTAGGGGTTTTTTTTGTACATACATTTACGTAACACTTTTATCAAAACAATTTGCAGTCCACAGAAACTCCCGCAGAAACAAAACCAACATTTACAAAATATCTCACAATGGAATCAGAAGTAAGAACTGCAAAGAGAGCAGGTACCTGAAAATTATTATCATTCAATAACAAGCTGGCTTTTAGCAGAGAAAGAAATTAAGAAATGCATTCCTACTTATATTTTATCTTGCTGAAATTTGTGCAGAATAGATTTTTTTGTACTGCACAAGCAGAGAGAGACAAAAGTACAAATGATGCTGGCATGCATATTGGCTTAACATTTCAAAGTGAAAATTCGAGGAAATATTTGGCAGATATTCATTTGCCTTTTGTGAGAAATTCAGTTGCCCTAAAGTCATCTCACTGATAAGACTGCTAAATAACCAAGTTACATTCTCAACCAGTTAGCTGTGAAAATGTTAGTATTTTTTCCTTTGTCACTCAGAGATTTGAAAAAGAACCAGGATTTAACATCTCATGTGAACTGTCAATGGCATAATTTCTACTGAAAGACCTACTGACTCGAAGCAATGACAAAGTACTTTTATCCTTCTTATCTAAATGCTTACCATTCTGAGGGCTTATAACTGCTAAGAAATGAATTCAAGACAGTTCAGAAGAGACTTTCCTACATACATAATTTTAGAAAAGACAAAAACATTCTTTTAAAATTTGGTTTCTTAAATCAAATATGTAAGTAGGTCAGGCAAGGTTGAGAAGGATACATCTGTTAGTCGGTTCTCATAATGCACTCTTAGTAGTTAACTCTCCAAAAGGCTAGATGAAGAGCAATTAAAAATTCATACATTTTAATCCTTACCACCTACTGAGCAAAGATTTTTAGCGACAACTATGGAGAACATTTCACTGCCTGGATGACTGTCAAGGAACAAAACAACGTAGCTGAAATCCCCTTCCACATAAACTGATTTGAACTCATGTTGGCAGAAAATACAAAATTGTTGCTGCTTGCACAATGCAGAGTAGATCAGAGAGCACTGTCCTTTATTTAAAAATGGGTAGTAGTAGACCTATTACTGCTAGAATAGCAACAAACACACTTTCAGAAATACCAATCTCTTTCACAGAATCACAACAAATCTTACTGCATAAAGAAAAAAATACAGTATTTTTTAAGCCTGCTGATCTTAAAATTGACAGCAATTTTATATTGCTGCTGATAATATTCTTGTCATTTTCAACCATTCATGCAAAGACTTAACTTATTTATATGTCCTTTCTGTCAACCAATCACGTACATTCTTCATGACACTGGTATCTCATGAAACTGCTAGCAAATATTCAGGTAATTTGGGAACACTAGAAAAACCTTTTTATCTGAAAGTAAATTCCATTTTAAAGGCTAAGAAAGCAATGAAGCAATGTATTTTTCTCTTTTTAGTATTTATTCAATGCTTCTATACACGAATAAATGCTTAAATTCAGAATATCTGCTTTGATCTAATACAAACACACATATGTTCACCCATTATAAGGAACAAAAAAAGGTGTTTGTATCAGGCACTCCTTTATAAAAAAGGTAAGTAACAGTGTGACTGTAAGTGAAAGTGAGCCAACAGAAAAACCTAAGTCTATGTGGGAAAGGTCAATTGTGCTTAAATGTTTCGTTCATGTATCCATATCACTTTTCTCCAGTTAAGGAAAATAATTAGTTGATGTTATTTTATAGCTAATTCTAAAGGGACCATATACTAGATGTGGCTGTTAAAATGAATGGTTATAATCTTCAGCAAAGTTCCAAATATGCTTATGTAAATAGGTTGAGGGGAAAAAAATAATAATAAAAGAAAAATCAAAAGCAAACAGGCCCATCAACCTTTAAGCTGGGTTTTATTAGTTCTGCAGAAATTAAAGCCGTAATTTGCTGTTACCTGAATGACCACACTGTATTGCACCCTAAACAGGCTAGTGGAAATTCTTACCTAATTAGAAAATATGCTGAAGTAAGCAGGTGCTATATAACACAAACCAAATATTGATCACAATTGTCAAATCCATTGCAATATCTAACCGCAATGCTCTATGATTTAACTTCGCATAACTACTTTCACAAAAACCTGGCATCAAATACAGGCCCACTTCTTATTTATTCCTCTGTTAGAAGAGAATGGCCACATAAAACTCCTGTCCAATTTTTATTTCTGATGTCCTAGCTCTTGTGTTTGTATCGAGCCTTGATGCTCGGCCAGTTATGCAGTTAAGAGCATTCTCTTCAAGAGAATAAAAGCTGGTAAAATGTCCATAAAATCTTGCAAAATGCCATTACAACGGTCTCATAAATGTAACATTTCTGGTACAGTTTGGGGATTTACACCTTGTGTTGTCCTTTCACAGAAGCAAACATGCGCAAAACCACTGTAATAACCTCTTGAAATCAGATAATATTCCAACAGCTCAGTTTCACTGACAGAAGGGGCCTGGGCATAAGCCAAGAGGCCCAGGTGCACTGTGTCATGCCAGTATTTAATGCAGCCTAATATCAGATAGATGCTAGTGAGAGAAAATACTCAGAATAAAGTACAGATAATAGCACGGACAGCCACTCATTGCTAAATTACTTCTGCTCATCGTGCTGTGAGCTTTGTATTAAATTTTTTCGTCAAGTGGCAGGAATCATAGGGAGAAGTGGCTCACAACTCCCTTCTTGTAACCCTGGATAAGGATCTATAATATTAGGCTTTCATATGATAATGGCAAATGATGCCCCTCTTTGAAAAATTTCATACTGGTAATGAAAGTCCTAATCAGATTGTTGTTGCAGAGAACCAGGAGGTGGGTGGGGAACGAAGGCTCTCCTTTCCCTCCCCCCTGTCAGCAAATTTAGCAAACCTGACAAGATGGGTTAAGTCTTGGAGAATTTATCTTACATGAATTTCCAACAAAGCCCGTAGGTTGTTTTATAAAACTGGAAGGCAGTGCTTTAATAAAAGCTGCACCACCTGAGGCATTTTCATTAAAGGCTCTCTCTAGACAACATCACAATGTTTGCATTATCCTCCTACACTCCCAAGAGAATACAAGCACTACCTTTTCAGCAAGAGTTGATATTGTGTGTGAAGGCACGAGAGAAGATGATTAGATTTTGCTTTTACTGACAAAGTAACCGCTTGCAACAATGCTGTGGTCAGGATTAAAAGTCATTGATTTGTATTGTCCACCGTTTGAATGGCAAACTGTTTTTTTGAGGAAAAGATACATTCTGAAGGTTTTAATAGCCAGTCATGTGAACAAAGATTTTAATCCTAACCACACATTATTCTCAATGACTGTACTATTTATGCTATCTGGGCTCTTAAATAATGACAGTAATTAGCCGATTAGGACACTACAGAAAACAGGTGCATGGCTCTGGAGTGGAAGCATCAATGTACAGTATTAAGGAACTCTGGCATTTAAAATGATTAATCTGTTCAGTGTGTTTAGCAACAGGAAACACAAATCACTGAATTCTGAAACATAATGTTATCTCTGTGGAAAAATTTCACACACACGCACTGAATGCACATTTAGAAAGGTTCACTGACGTTTTCACCCGTTTCAGTGGACTCACCATCTGTGTAGACTTCTCTGCGCAGATGTCCTGGCTGGTGTTTTTGCTTTTTGGCAGGTCGGACCTTCTGTATTACAACAGCACTCATGTTGCTGTCGGTAGAGACGGGGCTGGTGGGTCTAGGACAGTGTGATGCATGAAAATGTCTACGGCCTGGAAATTGTTACAGAACAACAGCTATTATTTTTCTTACCTAAATTAAGACACTTAGTACTTTCTCTTTTTTCACATGAGAATGACCTAGCTATACAAAACCTGAAAATACACTGTTACAACACTAATAAAACTTTCACCCTTCCTGTAATCAGTTTTAGACTGAGCTGTAACTAAACTGCAGCATTTGCTGTCCTATCAGTAGGCAGTCTGGCTTCATTTCACTGGAATTATCCAACTGGCTGGTAGCTGGTAGCTCCTGCCCCAGGAAGCTGAACACCATGGGCAGCCAAGCACAGGCAGGCTTCTCGCCTTCCAGAAACAACAAAACATTTCACTTGCAAAAGGGTTTCCCCCCTCCCCTAGCTTGGGCAGGACAAAGTCACCCACGCCAAGGCAGAGCAAGCCACTAGCAGGTCTGGGGTGCAGATGCCCCCTCCGCCGCTTTGAGTGAATTACCAGGAATGCATCAAGGATGTATGGCTGGCATTTTATCACAGTTTATTTGCAGATCAGAAGCGCCAACACGTTTAGGATGTGCAGTCAGGTACGGGTAATATCAGTACACAAAAATCACTGCACAACATGAACTTGACTATTGAAAAATTATTTACCTGTAGTAGTGATGCGATGTAAAAAGACCTTTTCTAAATATATAAATTTACACACACATAGACACTTGTATTTATATGAATGTATACATATAAAACAGATAAAATCCTGGCTTCGTGGGTATGAACGGGAGTTTTGCCACCTACTTCAATCGGCCAGGATTTCATCCAGATTACTAAATTACCTCCCCTCTCACCCTTCATGATGAACAGCTGTGTTGAAATGAAACAAAGGACTGTTAACTGGGAGAGGATATCAGAAACGGGAGGAAGGTTGCAAATCCGTGGAGTCCGGCTGGACACAGTTGTGACAGAGTACCTCTTCTCCAGGTTTGGCAGTTTAATCGGATTGCTTGGCAAAACATTCACGATCTGCTTGAAACCTGCATCCCACCCTGCAGTATTCTTATTTCTTAGCTGAACTATAACAATATCCATTGGGCCTAGCCAGGTTACTGATTGCCTCTATATATCTAGTGTTACTAGTAACCAGTATGTTGTAAAACATTACACATTTCAAATATCATACTTCATACGTCCAGCAGCGATTCAGGAGAAAAAAAAAAAAAGAAGAAATATACACATAAGGAGTCATTGCATATTCGTAATCTACAATCTAAACTGCAGCTAGTAACAGCTGTGAAATTATGAAACCAACACAAAGCCAGTTCATCTCAATAATACAGCAGTAAGAGCTTGAACAGTATTCTCCAAAAGATAACAATAAAATATAAAATGGAAAACAATTATATTACAATTTTTTTTCAAGTCCAGGGGAAATATGACTCTAAAGGTTCACTATTTATTTTGACATTTCAATACAGAGGGATTAAACCTCTTATGAAGAGTGACAGAAAACACTGGAAGCCTTATACTAGGAAAAGGATAGAATTCTGTAATCCTGTGTTTTTTTTTTTTTCTCATTCAATTCTGGGTGCAAACCCACCAGCAGGGTTGAGGTTTGGCAATAATCAGTGAGACCAGAAATTAGGAACTACTTATGAAAAGTGATGTAGAGCAGCAATTTATTTGGACCGTTTCACCAAAACCCCTTTTGACTCTTCCACTAGCGTAAATTGACCCCCCCTCCTGAATTTCTAAATGTTGTAAGAGCAACAGGAATCCAGGAAGCGGTTGTGGATAAACATATTTCACAGGGGCCATTTTTTTTCTTCTCCCATCAAATCGAGGACAAACTCACCTCCTGCCGCATCCTGCATTTGGCGTCTGGCTACTTTCAGGCCGGCGTATTCTGCAGCTGCTGCTGGAGATGTTATCTTCTTCGGAGGCTGAACCCCAGCCATTGATCATGGACCCTGTTACAGAGCTCTCCAAATCCCCAACGCTGGAGGCAGGTGTCTGCTCGAGGCCACGCAAAAGGAGCCTTCTGTTCTGCATCTTGGCAACCTCCATATCTGCTTCATCTTCCTCCTCTTCTGGTGCGTCAGTATCCATATCAGAGACCAAGGGCCCTGAGATATATCCATAGGTATGTGGTGGGGAGATTGGCCTTGGAGGGGGTGGAGGACTCACAGGCTGACGTCTGCATAGAAATACAATGGTAAGAAGAACAGAAGTCACATAACATAGAGGAAACAGGAGACTGATGAAAATATTTCTTGTACTTCCCAACAAGCTTGACTTGCCTTTTTAAATCAACAGAATTTATATCTGAAAGTTTCAGTGTTGGTTGGTTTTTTTAGTTCTTATTTTTGCTGTAAATCAGAACTGACTGACTGCTATGTAGTTTGAAATCTACCACAAAAAAATCTGATCTTTTAATACAGTTCCTTCATTACTAATTTTCATGAAAATTGGCTTATTTAGCATAAAGCTGTTCATTCTTCCTAAAGTAGCACATGTACAGCTAGTCGAAGAGGTAGTCACAGTTCATGTGACTATTTAAAAAAATTATTTGTGCATCCTTGAGAGTATGAGCAAAAGAAGTGTCTGTATATTGCTGTAGAAGGTTGAAACTACCAATGTCAACAGATGCCTCTATCCAAACAGATTGCTCCACAAACATTATTTTCTCTCTATCCACCCCAGTGATTCAGAAGGATATGAAAAGAGATATTGTTATTTCACTGGTTTTTAAATTGGTCTAGGTGATAATACAAAGAAAGAATTTCTCTACCATAATGCTAGTTCTAGGTCTTAAGGATGCCAAAATGCATACAGATGTATGGGTTAATTAATTGGAATCTTATATCACCAGTAATGGTGTCTCCAGTTTAAAGAGGCAAAGTATTAGATATCATTAGATCAATGTTCAGTTTAGTTAATACTTCACTCAGAAGTTTTCTTCACAGGGCCACAGGCGTGCTTTTTAATTGCCATTTGTCTGATAGGAAGAACTACATTCTGCAGCAATGGGTGTACTGTTGGCTTTGCTTACCAGGAATTTCTACTGCAGTCTGCTTTGCAAAAATTTCCAAAGTAATTTTCCTTTGTCAATTTTTCCCTCTTATTATCTCATTGACAAATGGTGACTCTCGTAAACTAAATCTTTTCCTTTTTTTGGGGGCTGTGATTTTTTTATTTTAATAAATGGGAATACTTACTAATTCTGAAAGGAAAATTTAGCAAGGAAAAATTCAATAATTTATGGTGAGAGCAAGCCAGAACCTCCCTGGACTACATAACCTAGCCATTGTTTTCCACTTGCTGTATTAAGTACTGAATGGAATGAAGAAAAGGCCAGTTAGGGATATAAACCCAATAATCATTTAATACCCACTCCCCACCCCCCCCAATCCCAAAAGCCACTGCTGCATGGGAATCTCTACCTGCCTTTGACTAGAGACCTTGCCCAATGAAGTTTTACTGCCTTAATTTAAAGCTCTTGTGAAACTGTCCTTGTAATATACTTGCCAGCCTTCCTATTCTCTAGGTTTTTGTATTAGGAGACAGGCAACTGGTTACAAAACATGTTAGGGTTCTTGAAAATATAGCTTGCCTGCCAGTCTTTAAGGATAGGTTAATTGAGAGCAGCTGGTTCACGGGCATACAGAATTAACAACACTTCGTTCACTTTATCTGATGCAGTGGTTCTCGCTTCAACAGTGAGATTGTCTCCTACCTCGGCTCTCGCTTTGGCATTGACATCATCTGCTATCTCTCTAAATCTTTAGATTTTCCTCTGCTTGGCCACTCTTCCAGAACACAGCTTGCTATACTTCTAGCAAGCTGACTGGACAAAGAAACCTTATAGTACACCATCACCACCAGAATCATATTCTGGATGCCCGGTTCTGATCAGAAATTGAGATACTATTTAGCACAACTACAATAAAGCTAATAAAAAGCTTGACAAACAATATTTCAGACATTATTTTCAGTATAAACCCACCATTTACAACCCCCCTGCAAATAACAGAGAAGCACCACTCAGAAGGTATTCTTAATTGGAAAGTATTGTCACACCATACTCAAAACAGAACCCCCTGTCCAGAATGGGCTACAGCTGTTGAGCACAGTACATCCAACTCCTAAACAGCAATGCCATGGGTCATATCAACGCTGTTAGATAGAAAAGATAGTCAGCCAAGACTTACAAATCCAGTAAATAAAATTATGAAAATCTTTTTAAACTGATGAGATGGATGTAGGAAAAAGAAAAGAAACAACATTTGAAAAAGTAAGACAAAAAAGACAAATATAGCCACTAACAATTCTAAGACTTTCAGCAAAGCTAGACTTCACCATTGTAGGAAGAACAAAAAAAAAAAAAAAACATTTTATTTTTTTCAGTCTACTCAATGAGTAAGCTGTACATCCTAGGAGCTTAAATTGGAACATGCTTCCAGATACTTTTGCCACTACTTCTGATGACATTTACGGTGACGAGCCGTGAGTCTTTGTGCTACTTTTTCGGCAGTTGCTGGCTGGTTATGCATGTTTGCATACATCTGCCGTGACGCCTGCTCCATTCTGTACGTTGGTATGCATCTCCCACTTTCCAGAACACGGTAGCTGATGTTCTGGAAAGTCACTCACAGTACATCACTCACTTAGCGTTTCCCTTCTCCATTAGTGTCCAGCAAGTTTAACCTCTAAATAACCTAGAACACTTAAGTGATTAAAATGAACACTTCTGTGCTGTGACATATCAGGGCCAATGGAAATTACAGCAAAATATTATTAGCCACCCTCTAACAAAAAGAGTGATTATAAAGACTCGGAAAGCTAGAAGAAGAGAAAAAGATACACAGTACAAGAAGTGTTACCATAAAGAATACATAAAACAAAACAAGGCAGACCAAGTAGCAGTGGGGAGCAAAAGTAAAAACAGATATAGACCCTTTAAAAAAAAGATTAATAATTACTGCCTATGTAAAAAATGGAAACATAAAAATGAACCAACTTTTCAAAAAACATTTGCAAAATACATCCATAGATGTCCAGCAAGCTATATTAATAAAATCAAAATTCTACAGTCTACTTGGCAAGATCACAGTCAGTCTGCATTTCACTAAAAATAAAAAGTATGTCTAGAATATTGCAGGTAAGTTCATATATTTGTGGTAACAGACAAATTCTACACACCATTGGAGGAAAAAAATAATAAAAGAAATATAATTTGGGATGGAAAAGCTGTGCCTTCTTAACAAAAAGCAAGATGTGAAAGCATCATACATGAAAAGCCTCATTCAGAATTCACTGCTTTATGAAGAGAAGCTGTGAGAGTGTACATGCAAAATAGTTTGTACTAAAAGCAACTCAGAGAAGAAACAAAATTTCCCTATAACAAATATCTATCTTTATTAATGTTGGTCATTCCTTTAAACAAGGGTAGGTGGAAATGTTAAGAAAATCTTGCAAGCAATAATTTCCTGTATTTGGATTTATGAGAGGAGGAAAACCTATAGCTTATAAAAATTATATATTTATATATATTCATACATATTGTTGACAAGTTAATTGCACAGTTACTGTGAAATAATGCATGCTATTTTATGGTAATAACACAGTAAATCTATTGGAAACAATGGAACTGTAATTATATGGTAAGCTGTGTTAACGATACCACTTTAATATCCTGATGACTGTGAATTTAACTTGTGTCAGCATCGAATATACCGTAAAGTGATATACTGCATTTCTTTCCATGGTATAATAATAAAGCAACTTAATTATGTATTTCTTAGGTTACAAATAGTTCTAGCGTCCTGGATTAGAAATTAAATATTAACAGAATAAATATCATGGGGAAAATCTTGGCCTCACTGAATTCAACAGGAATTTTCAGTGGGGCCAGGATGATTTTTGTCACGTCTCTCTCGCTACATTTGCACTGACACACCTCCGGTCAGGTTGGTGTTGTATGTGTCCCAGATCCTCCTGACAGTCCTGTAACATGGGCTGGAGTTCTTCCTGGGGAGAGGGAGTGAGAGTGGCTGTTGATTGATGGCTATAGGAGACAGCGGCTGGAGAGGAAGCTGCTCCTCGGACAGGTGGAGTAGGACCTCGCTCATCTTCTTCCTCTTCCTCTAGCTCATCCTGCTGCAGATACATCCTTGCAGGTGGGACAGGACAAGGAATTTCTTGGTCATAGCTAAAATTAATTTTTTAAGAAAATAAGGAATTCAATTTTTACTGTGTAATTAGCATATCTGATACATGTATAAATAGCCCAGAAAAAAAAAATCACTGTTACACGTGCTCCTGAAAACAGCTTAGTCAGGACGTACTGAGTGGAGGTACGCCACTGTCAGTAAGCGATCGCTCTAAATAGCCACACTACAGCTAGCTGCGGAGCACCAGAACAGTACTGAGGGAAGGTCTCACTGCCAGCTTGTAGGGCAAATTACAGTTCTGTTAACTAGTGATTAAAGTGAGAAACGGATGATGTATTCACTTTCCTTACCTTTCATCCACTGAAAGACTGTAATCTTCACTGTTGCTATGGGGAGGTGGATGTGCTGGAGGGGGTGGAAGAAGATCTGCCCAGTTCATGCCAGCTTGCTTGGGAGCCTTTGGGGTCCGAGCACCCTTCTTGTGCCCTTGACTCCCTATGAATAAAAAGTAGTATATATTTGTAATGCTTTTAAGCATCTCCTCGCTGCTATGCTTTGAAAAACAAAAGAGTCTCGATTCCCCTTCCCTGGGAATTTACTGTTATGCTGAGTTGCAATAAACCAGCATTCATTTTTTACACAAATTTGTAATTGTAGGTTCTCTGTAAAACTACTCTACATTTTTAAGCCCTTGAATTTAACCAGAAACTTTACACAGCACGGAAAAAGCACATGGGATACAAAACCTGAATTATTAATAAATAGCCAAAATGCGATAAAACCGTAGATGAATTTTACAAGCAATGTCATTAAGAGTGAGCTTCCTACTTCTATTAATTAAATTATAGATTATCATCTAAAACAAATGAGCTGTAGACATATTTTCTAAAGTGCCTTTATACTATTTAATTGCTGGAACCTAAAATACAATATGATACAGATATGATCTATTAAAGTTCCACTGTTGCATTAAGTCACTGAATATATGTAATTTGTACTTGTCCACTGAAATGTTTTAGGCACAATGAAAGTACTAGTTTTAGTCTAAAGGGCAGGTGCAGTTGAAAATAATTGCTGGAAGAACTAAAATAACAGAAAAAAGAAGAAAGAAGATCGATGAAGTACAACACAAATGTTTTCAACTACTGTTACTGGGAAATTACAGCACATAACAGAACAATGAGCTTTAACAGTTCCAGTAACTTTGAATAAGACCAATTATTCATGTGGCCTTGAATTTTAGCTTTGGACATGGCTATGATCAGAACTGACTCTACCATTGTTCCTTGGCATGCATTTTCATCCTTGTAATTGCTACTTCTTTAATTGTAGATAAAGTCACGGTATTTTTGAGTATGTTTTAAAACCCTTCATATTTCTCTCCTCAGCTGAGGCATGGCTTTATATTACCACAGTTATGCCTTACACACATGATTAAATATGCTGCAGTGAGATTTCGGAAGCTTGTTTTTTTTACTTCTGCTGTCTCAGATTTTCCATTCTTACAGATAATCATTCTGCTTATTATTGTCCCACATTAGCTGCCAGATACAAATATGTTTTAGCTATATATAATTATTCTTCTGGTATCTTAGTATGTCAAGCAAGACTCTAACTGTCCCAAGGCGACCAACATCTGCATTCTCTACCCTAAGCACCATGATATATACCAGGTTCAGCACAATTAATTTATTACTCTGGTCACCTTGCTTCATTTGTGCTGGAGTCCTTGGTATAAGACTATAAATTGTTAGCATTATGAATAACCATAATGGGTGTCAGCATGGAGAATACCACCTTCTCATTTTTAATTTGCAGGGGTTCACACCCCTGAGACGTTTCACACTGAATTTCAGGTCTAACACCATTGAGTATAGGCTCAGCACCACATCCCAGTGCTGTAGACCCGGGAATGGGCAAAAGGCTGGGTCCCAGAAGAACACCCCTGAGCAGCTGGGAGAATCGTGAGCCGTGCTTATCTCACCCCAGCCACTGAGAATTGAGGTCACCCAAAGGCACAGCAGGCTCATCTACATGTTTACATCTCTGCTGTGCCTCAGTCACAATCAGCTAAGATAGAGCCAGGTTAGGATAAAGGCCACTGGGCTATCAAAAGCAACAGCAGAACAAAAGGTGAGAAGGAAAGTCCTCCTCTCAATTAGTAGATGTAAAATCCAGGGAGCTGCTGTATGTCACCATAACTCAGCCTATAATTGCCTGGATGTAAATAAATGTAGGCTAAGTATCAGACTTCAAAGCTTAAGTGTAACTTCTGGTTTAGCTCTGAACATTTCATACACCTCTACCAGAAATCAAAGCTGAAATGGAACAGGTGATATCATGATGAGAAGCGGTAACTGTTGAATTAAACCATATTCTGTGGTTTCAAAGCACAGAGTGCAATTTCAGTGGCCTGGTCAGCATTCTCCAGCACAAAAAGCTGTCTTGTTTCAAGATTATTATGAAGGACTTTTAGATATTTTGCATAGGAGATGTTGATGAGAAACCAAATTTGACTTTAATTATCTACTATCTACATTTGAATGATGTACAAGAATAGTTTTGACACGCTGCCACTGAAATCCATAAAAACTGCATGTATGCATGCATGTTTTTTACTCAATAAAATGTACGGGTTTAATTAAAAAAATTAAAAATTTCTTAAAGCGGTTAGGTATCACCCAAATGTTCTTGTATCTTGAACCTGTTCACGAACACGATTGTCTTGGATGAGCAGATCCAAGAGATGGAAAAGAAGTCAGTAACGTACCAGGAAGGTAATACACAAAATTAAAATCCTCTTTTTTGTGACAGCTGAAAAAACTTTCTGTGACTTGCCCAGCTGGAGTCTATAGTATTAACCAGTAGGGCATTAACATCAGGAAATCCAACTTCTACTTGATTTCATGACTTCCACAATTTTGGACAATCAACTATTTAATTGACATTTAGATGGCACTAAGCAATCATTAGGATGCAACAGAAATATAGGCACCTATTGGGCCATTTTTTATTCCGTTTAACATCCCTGTGCTGTATTACTGTCAGTGTCACCTGTAATCCCCGTCATCCTCTCCATCACCCGTTCTGTAAGTCCAGTAACTAGGCCTAACTACAGGTAGGGCGCCCAAACAGCAGAAAACCAAAGTCTGGTAAACACTGTAGATACTCACCAGATGTACTACTGCCTCTCTCTGAGCTGTTGTAGGATCCACCTGTATTCTGGTCATATGACTGGTTGTACGGAATAGTTGGAGCAATGTTGTCATTTACCCGGTAATCTGCAAGTTTAATAGTATAGTTAATGCTACCCTTCAGAAACACATGTACTTTTATATGTCTGCTTTATAACACAAAGTAAGTTCTCCTGAAAATAGTAACGAAGAAATAAGTTTATTTTTTGAATGGAAATTCATCCCACAATCATGTTTTATTTTTACCTTGTCCCTAATTGTAAGTTTAAGGAAAATCATGGGAACTTCATAGCTCCACAGCCAAAATGAAGTAAAATGAAATCCTATGCATGGGGTTGTCACAATGCCTCTGCAACGATTAAGTCTCAATGGATATATATACGACTTGTGTGAGCATTTTGCATTCGAATGGACTGTCACCTTGATTGATTCTCCATGGTCTCTGCTTAATTTATGCATGCAGGGCAGCCAATGGACTGTGGTAGCTACTGTTGGTATTTCAAAGGTGACAAACCCACACCAGAGTCAGCCCAGTATTACAAAGGCTGAATGATCTGCTGGAGCAACAATGCAGCTCCGCTGAATTTGGTTTACAACAGAAGAGGGCTTTGTTTAATGCCTGCTGGCTCCAAAAAGATTTCTATTTACACTGGGTCAAGCAGGTTCTAGCTTCAGGCAGGGCCTTTTTTTGCTAATGACTGTTACCATAACTTTCTTCTCCAGCTCCAAAGCACTTGATATACATATGCTACTTTTCAATCTAGATTTGGCAACCAGATCTGTAAAACTTTATCGGAAGTAAAATACTCATCTGACAAAACAGTACTCTCATGCCAAAAAAGGAATTATAGTTTACAGAGAACAGAAAGGAGCTGAGTAGCTCTTCGTACAGCAAATAAAACTGCATCATAAACAGAACCACTGGACATAAAGTAGTGACAATGAAGTACAGCACGTAACTCATCAAAATGGTTATTTCCCATCACAAAAACTATAGGTATAATCGTCAGCAAGATGGTTTTGACTTAGGAAATGAGAAAATCACAATCAGAATATTGACTCATAAAACAGCAAATCAAAACAAAAATAAACAAAACAAAGAATCCAGTCCCCATCTGCTGCAGCAATGTTTGTGATAATGTAAGCATGGGAAAAAGAGCAAAATGATAAATTCCACACCAGAGTGTATTCTGTAATAGTTTCTCAGCCTAGTTGCATTCCAGAGACCACAGTGAAGCCCTACATACCGTATATGTTTACACAGAGGATAAACAGTAAATCAACACTCTGAAATATGTATATATGACTGTCAGCAGACAATGCTTTAAGGGGGCCTTTCCACACTACAATATGCTACAGAATATGCAGCTGTAATATACACAGTTTGAAAGATGCAGTATCTTCCAGGGCATAAAAACCAAACATGTTTTAATTCCAAAACAGATATGTAATACACGGTTCATGAAAGAAAACATAATTACAAAAAAATACAGCTTTCACCCTCTAGTAAGGAGCCACAAAAATTGAATTTTCTTTTGACATGTTTATGTCAAGGGAAACTGTCACATTTTATATTGCCCTTTGAACTCCGCTGTGAGTAGATGGGTCCGGCAGAGAAATCAACATTCCTGTAACGAAATGTATCTTTTTACTGGATAACTTATCACTGTGCGACCACTTAGGTTACAACAATCCATGCAAAAAGTTCCAAGTTAGAATGGGTCCAGTTCCTAGGGATACTGTTTTGCAAATCAGGTTATTAAAAGAGGTTGCATGGTAGCCTGGAGGACTAGCAAGAAATCACATACCTATTTCTTCCAACTCCCACACATTATATTAAAGAACCATGCCCTCAAGGCCACAAAAGTACAATCTGATGTTTCCCGTTAACACTGAGATCAATTTATTTTTAGCTTCTTGATCCACAGACTTCAGTCAGGGTAACAAAGGAATTTAGTTTCCAAAACTGCGTGCAGTAGCATTGCCTCTCAATATGTGAATCGAAGCCTTGCTAGGAACAAGTCTAAAATGAATTGGATCACTCCATTTGTGTCCCTCGTGTACAACACAATACAATTGTACAGAGTTTGATATGCAAAATTTCATTCGTTTGCATGAACACGTAGATTTAATTAGTCTCCATCCACGACTGGGAAGAGTGGGTTGACCTATTTAAAATTTAAGGTAGAGTATAATGTGACTACCATGCATCTGGCTCATGAATAAAATATCTGGCCTCTGTCCTAACCAATCCCTTAACTACTATTAAATTTAAATTAAACTGAAATCCCTAGCAAATGTATTTAACTCTTTTCTAAAGACACAGCTTCTAATTTTTTACAATAAATTCAATATCTGAAGGTTATTGTGGTGCTAATTAACTTTCTGACACTGCTAACTGTGGATTTCTAAATGTAAAGAGGGAGAAGTCTAAAAGCACCACAGAAGTCTGTAATTGCTGAACCTAAAAGCTTTGGACTCCCAGCACCAGAAGGTCAAAACTCTTCTGATGCCTAAAGAGGAGAAACAAGCTAAAAGCTCTTCACCTTTGTTTAATTTGTTTTGCTCCATTATGTTGTACTGTATGGGTGCAACCTCTTGCTTTTGCTGCCCAGAGGGTTTCCAGTGTTTCTCATTCGTATCCCCGCTGCCATTGTTAACATTATTGCTGATATTTGACTGGATGAGTTGAGTGGTGGCATAAGGAGTGGGCTGCCCCGGCTGGCTGACAAATCTTCCGTCCTTTAGATTTGGACTATTGAAGGTTTTCATCTCATTGATTTTGTTGCTGAGGTCCACGTCACCATATACAGTTGACTCAGGCAACATCAGGTTTGTTTGCTTGTTGTCCAGCTGATTGTTGTAATTTGCTATACAATCGGCTAACCACAGAGGAAAGAAAAAAGAAAAGGTCATTCTGTTCGCTTACACTATACTTTCAATGAAATGCCCTTTAAAAACTTTCAGTGCATAACTATATGGCTTGCATCCATGAAGCAGAGATACCGTAATTAACTAAATACTTTACAGAGTATTATTTACCTTATAAGCTACTGCCTCAAAAGCAGTGTTCACTGTTTTGATTCGCTGTAAATTCAGACCTCCTGAATTGTATCTACAATGACTTACCTTGCTGGGCTTTTTCTACAGTGGCCACATAAGCATTTACATTTTTAGACATTATTCTCAAAGCAGCATAGATTTCCAGTCAATAATTGTGATTAAAATAATTTGCATCGAAAGAATAAATCAACCAAAACTTAATAGTTGGAATGGAACTAAACATGACAGTCATCTCGCCATCTCTACAACATTTAGACTTTCTTGCACTTGTGATCAGAAACAGAGTTACAACCGATTTTTATGAAACAGACTGAAAAGTGTTTACACACAACAGAATTAAAGAGAAACAATACAACGTGAAAGGTAACTCAGGACCCAGTAGGAAGCCTTTATTTCATCATCGTTTCCTTGTACAATCTCATATTTTGGTTTGAAACAAGGACAGAAAAGCAACCTGGAATTTTTTCTAATTTTTTGTTGCTTTGGATATTGCAAAATAAGTAATAGCATAGTAATAGCATTGTTCTGTATGCTAAGTATCGATCATCCAGACAGCATGAATTCATTCTTCTAATAGTTATTGCATCATGAGATCACCACTTGTTGCATAGAGTAAATTAGACAGGTACTGATGCTCTGTCCACCACCTTGTGAACCAGTGTGCCTGCCTTTCCAGGTTCTCTTGCCTCTGCATGACAGCAGTTCCACATGCTTTTTTCCCTCTCCATTTCCAGTCTACTGGAAGTATACCGAACAGAATAACACAGTCTGTGGGTCGGCAGTTATAAGGCTTTGTGAAACCAGCATTTAATGAACATTGAGCAAAAATTCTCATTTGCCAGCTGATTAATGCATCAATAATTACATACCAATCCCCAGGAAGATAGTTTTCCTCTTTTAAAAGATGTTGTATTTATGCTAATGAGTTTTGATTCGAAACCTGAAGTCCATTACCTGTGGCCACAATTAATTTACTGGAGAGGGTGCCAAGCAAAACTAAGTACAGAATTCAGGATTTGACCATTCTACTAAATGAGATAACCATGAAATATAGAGGATGTTCAATTTCAAAGATATTCCCTAAAACATGCATCTTTTTTGAGAAATGTTTCCTGAAAAAGGGAAATAAAACACTACTTGAGGAAGAAAACCACTGATCCACATTTTCCGTGATTAAGGAACAGAATCAGAACATGCCACATTCAACTTCTCATTGCACACTTCATGCCCCCCAGCTTGTGTTTTTTGAAGGTTTTACTGTTTGATATATTTCTTTTTCTCACGTGAGCCATTCTTCATTGCTTTAGAGTCTTCAACTTCCTGATTTCTACTTTTAAAATGTTTGGATATCTGCTTTTTCTCTCACCTACTGAAACCATGCTAGTCTTTCCTCCTTTCCAAGTCTATTGTATTATATTGGGCAATTATACATCCAGCATACACTTCATTCCTAATACCTCACGCTTTGTGATAAAACCCTTGCAGAGACACTTACATGTATTTTTAACTCCTTCCATTTTCAGCTACATCCAATTTGTGTGGAGGGCAATATAATCAATACAGTATATGCAGTAGCTACATTTCTTTACATAGACACATTAGAATTCCTTATAAAAATACTTAAACAAAACTAGTTTATCTACATCACAGAAGATTTATTCTGCTCGATTTTTTTAATAGCTTCTACTTTTCAAACAATCCGTTCCCATTTTGTAAACTTGGAAAACAGTACTATACTTAAAAGAAATTAAAAATGCACAGTTACTTAGCATATTCAGAGCTATAGAGGGGATATCCAACTCTGCTGCTTCAGAGCATAAGCCAAGCCCAAGCTGACATAATTAAGAATATTTGTTAAGATTTTCCAGGACAGAAGAGACCACTATGAACATCTTGTCTGACCCTCAATCTCATAAGCTCTGCTTGAAATGAAGGAACCACTTTGCAACACAACCAAGCTTAAAATAAAAGCTAAATTGAAAAAGAATCCACTGCATCTCATGACAAGATGTTATAATAGTTTACAGTCCTCAGAAACATACATTCTCTTCCTTTTCCAAATTTGTTTAGTTTCAGTTACTAGAACTTGGTATGTCTGTACTTGCCACAATAAAGTATCTCTATATGAGAAATCTTTTTACATAGGTATTTGTGAACGTGATATCCTCGGGCAGGGTAAGATACCAGTCTCTAATGTTAAAATCTCTCACCTTCCTCTGAAGCACCTGGCACTGGTCACTGTCAGACAGCATATTGCAGGAGATTAATTACCATGATCATGTCATGACTGGTTTCACATTAATTACAGGAGGTAATGCTGGTTTGCACTTACGCAATTTCACTATAGGCAATCATACTCCCTCTCCAAAATGCTGGGAAATGCTACTAGCAAAAATAAGCAGGAGATGCTGGTAGTGGAAAACCCTAATTTTCATTCCTCATCAGTAACACAAACCAAAAAACAAAAAGGAACCTAAGGCCATTTAAAACACTATGGGCAACAGTCAGCGCTTCCAGATATATTTCCCCAACTGTATTCCCGTGGAACTCCCAAAGTTTTCTTCAAGGGCACTCTGAGTCCTGCTCAGGCTCCTAGGAACTACCACTTAACCTAACATTTCGTAAACTTCTTTATCCACGTGCCCTAGACAGAACACCAGCTATCCAATTTTGTACAGAACAGCACCCCAAGGGAGGTTATGAATGTGCCAAAGTAGATTGATGACTGTCTTACAAATACTGTAGCAATATTTTATTTCTTGCTTCCCATCACATTCAAACCAGAAGGAAAAATCTCACGTGTCATTTTAGTACTTCTCCTTCTCCATCCAAGCAATAAGGATGTACAGAACAACCTAAAAATGATCTTATGTGCTCTTTTTCAGATTCTGAAACATATCAGTTCAGTGTGACTTTTGGTGACACTGAACTTCGCAGGGGCTCCTTCAGCCTACAGCTTGCTACAACTATCCAAAGGGGACTGAAAAAAGGGATACAAAAAGGGACCGAAAGCATAATCATGACACAGAGGAGAAACTATAGTAAGTCTAAATGCATTGAAAATAAAAAACCCCAAACAAACCTGTACACTCTATCAGGTATTAGAAGCATACACTCTGTAAAGAAGATTCCTTAGCAAGGTAGAAACATATCTAACCTGGTCGACTGTACGTCGTAAGGTTGCTGTCACTGTTGCCGTTGCCAGAAGTGCAGCAGTTGATGGAGCAGTCATTGTGGTTGTTCCCTGTGTTAGGCCAAGTATCTGCTAGCCATGGCTGAGTGGCTGGTTCACTGATGTTTAGGAGTCCTGGCCTTTAAAAACAAAGCTTGGTCATTTCAAAAAATTAAGCAAAAGCATTTTCACATTGCCATTACATTCTTTTCAAAAGGTTAGATATTACCAAAAAAAAAAATCACATATTTAAAGGCTTGAGCATTGGAAAATACAACTTGATTCAATTATTTAACGGTTTCTAGTCTGCTATATAACCTTTTCCTTGCTAAGACACTCTGAAGTGAGCAGCCAAGGACAGCATCAGTTCAGCTTATACATATATGTTGGTGTGCAACATTTACCTGTCATTTTGGTTTGGGGATTTTTTTTATTAATTTTTTTTTTCTGGGAAAGTTGTATATTTTTCTGCTCCTTCTCCCTTTCTTAAAGAAAGCAAGATTTAAAAAAGGGTAAATTGGCAAGTCAAACAAACAAAAAACGGAAGCAAGAGCTGAGTTTGGATGTGAATACTCCCAAATTCTTAGTGATTTATGAAGCCAACTTCTCCTCACCGTCAGATAGTACTGCTGTAGTGGATCAAAAGGAACAGCAGATTACAGAAACCTCTGTCACTTGGGAGTATTTGGATCTCACTAAGCATACTGAGCGTGCAATACATCTCTGTTAATGAGTATGCCACTCGCTTAATCTTCATGTGGGCAGTACAGCAGCAGCTCCTAAGCAAGTTTAAAGTAACCGGGAATACTAAACACCTTTAAAAACATCCAGGTATCAATGCAGCATATTGGCTGCGCTTGGAATAAAGTGTATTGCTGCCATCAGAAGAAAAAAAATAGCATTTCTTGTTTTCCAAGCTGCTGAATTTTTCTAGTGAGCGTGAAAGATGCTCTGATGAATGTTTTGTAGAATCTTTGGTGCCTCTTCAGTTTTCACACTAACAATGTAATGGCATCTTATAAAGCCCCATATAAGTAGCATTCTCTAACAACCTGAAATTGCCTTTGATAACCAAGGTGCTTTTAAAAATAGATAATTTTAGCCACTGTCATATATATATAAAAAAATGTGAACACAGTCTATTTCATCAAAGGATTTAACAGGCAACTTTCCATTTGAATAGTGCAGAAATTAGTCTCATAATATTAGACGTAATGCTCTTCAAAAATAAAATATGCTAATCCTCTTAAACTGCAAGTTGAGAATACTAACTGTATGCAGTTCTTTATGGGGGATATAGTCTGTCACTGCCACAGGTTTAAGTCATAGTCCTAGAATGACATTTAGAACATCTATACATATATGTGTATATTTATTTCTGTACTGCATATGTCATCTATCAACTTAACATAGGAGGTGATGAGGCTTCATTTACTGTCAGGCTAACAAACCAGCCAATATCTATGCACTAAGCAAGTATTTTTTGTAAATCTGAAATAGATGTACAGCTATGTAGTCCTGTGAGCAGGTCAGCTGATTTGAAATACCCGCTTTTTTCCTCTACCACCCTGCTTTACAATGAACCTACACCTCAAGGCATTTGGAGGAGACAAAGACTTCCAGAATGTTCCAGCACTTTCAAGACCTGTATACTGGATTTTTGGATAGAGAGTTAAAGGTCCTTTGCTTCTAAAATTTCTTTTCATTCACACCTGCTGTCATGTAAAAAATGTAGTGTGAGGTATGTAAGTAGAAAAAACTCTACTCATTGGAGTCATTTAAGAGGAACTGTAGGCAAGAGATGTTTGCTTTACAGCTCCATAGCCTGGTGATGATCAGAGATCATAATTTCCAAAGGTGTTTAACCTTTGTAGCAAATTCTTTGAAACCTTGTATCACTATACTGGGTCTAGGGTAGGGGCGGACTGAGCCAGCGGCTGTGTGGCTGCCCGGGTGGTTGCCGGAGGCAATCCACCACAACTGGCATTACTTGAATACTGCCTAAAAAAGGGATTGACACAGAAACAGTTATTTTTTTCAGCACCGCAGAAGTGGGGATTATGTTGAAAAATATCACTGTGACATTTTGAATTCTGAACAATGTTTTACCATGCTTATGTAACTGCACTTGGCAAAAATGCTAAACCTCTCCAAAACATTGTAAATATAATGTAAGGAAGTGAAAACCTTAGGTTTGGAAATCAAAGTAAAGGTTTCATTTCTAAAAATAACACCCATTTCTTCACATTGCAGAAGTATGTTTCATATTCTACAAAATATTGCACAATGTCTTACACCTCATAAATGCTATATATGCAAATGAACAAAAGCAGTATAGATGTTAGCAACTTGAATCAATTACACTGCTAGATTGTGGCACTGATCCTTAAGACTAGGACAGTAAAGAATTACGCCGCTCCTCTAGCAGTACCAAAATGACTGTATACAATTGTAGACACTGCTGGGTTCATTTCTGTCCTCTGGGCCTCTGTGAGTGTGCTTTGTCTAGCTTGTGCTATGGGAAGTGAGAGAAAGCCCAGTGGCACAAAGAATACAAAGGATGTTAACTGCGTACCTTTTCGAACAACCTTGTCAGGGGAAGAGAGGGCTCATCTCTGTTCTCTCTTATTTTCCCACTGTCGTGGGGTGAAGGCAGCAACCCAGTGATTTACAGATTTGTCCATTCGAAAATCACATGGTAACTGTTCTAGAGGTTTTGCTCCATGGTTTTGTGGCTACGACAACACAGCAGCACCCAGTGCTGGGCAGAGATAGCTGCAACTGCTCTCAACGTGCCAGCTTCGGCAGCAGCAGCAGCAGAGTAGCCTCACCTCTGCACAGCGTTCATGAAGACTGGGAATAGTTAATTTTGTGCCTAGTCTTTACCACTACCAATGTTTTGTACGGTCTTGCCAATTAGGAATCACAAGATGCCACTTGTGAAACAGGAATTGATACAGGAATTTATTGCCCAGCTGCTCTCTGAGATTTTAGAGTTTATTGCAGCTTCATGCCAAATCTTTAACTGAGCAGCTTATAAAACGGTAGCCCTGAGTGTGACCTAGGAGAAAAAAAGGTGTGGTACTAAAGTGACACTGCTCCGACCTGCCTTTTTGCTAAAATCGTTATTTTGCCCCCTGGAGAAAACTCCACCTTTACACAGGAAATGTAAACTACCTTTTTGTCCATTGCCATTCATAGAATCATAGAATTGTAGGTTGGAAAAGACCTCTGAGATCATCAAGTCCAACCGTCAGCCCAACACCACCAAGCCTACTACAGTAATTCATTAAGTGATAATGTAAGTAATTAATTAAATAATAACATAAACCCAGTAAACATGTTTTAGTTAAATCCTCAGTCTGGAAGGGGCTAGGATCTCAAAGAGGAGGGCTTTAAATTTTAAACTTACCTGTTTCCCTCTCCTTCAGTGTGCCACCTCTTGTAAGCAATGCTTTAACCCTTTTGCATTCATAGCAAGATTTTTTCTTAAAAAGTCACCTTATAAGCCATTTCTCTCTTCAGCAATGGTTTCCAATAAACGTTTTCTTTCTGTGTAGTATTTGTGAACCAGCTATATTTCTTAATCTCCATAAATGCCACGACTTAATTACTTTTACTCCCTTAATCAGCTAGTAAGCCAGGTCTTTATTTTGAAGTTAAAGTGCTCCCTCTGCTGCTCATTTTTTGAGATGCAGTTTAACAGGCTAACAAAGCTGAAACTATTACGACTCATTCTTTGGATATCAACCTAAAAATTCAAATCATATATCCTCTTTCTAAAAAAAAAAAGTATAGTCAAAATGTAAAAATTAATATGATAAATTAAAACATATCTTTGCAAGTGATTATTGTGCCATCATTTACAAGGACAATTGTACTCCTAGAATCCTTAAATTTAGTCGCACACAATTTATAGCTTTAAAAATAAAGCATATAATTACCTGCCTCCACTGCTTACAGCCTCTCCTCCTCTCTGATACGTTACTGAAATAGTTAAAGATAAAAAAAGAAAATAATTTAAAAATCATAAAAGACTCCTTAAATAGCAGTATTAAATTTGCCTTTGTTTCATTTTAGCTAAGACAGTAAGCGTGCAGTTTATACAATAATTCTAAGTCTCATTCTGCAAGCTGATCCTTTAGATGCAACTTTATACATAAAACTTGTGTTGCTTGATAACTGCTAGTCTTAGCTCCAGTAAAGTTTTATATTTCAGTTCTGTAAAACACAAACACATATGTATCGCTTAAGAAAGCAGGAAGCCATACATCAGGCTGAACTTATCCTTAACACAACTCTGCTGACTTCAGTGGAGTTACTCTGTGGAAGAATTTAGGTCATATATTTATTTCATGCATGGCTAGATGTTAAAGCTTTGCTCTACGTTATTATTTTGGTAAGATTAAAGAGGTATCATGATTCTATAACAGACCCTACTTCCAGTGTAAACAATGGCTCATTACAGCTGCACATACTGCAAAAACAAATGTTCCCTCTAAATGTTACTGCACTGTACTCATGGAACAAGCACACTCTAAAAGTCCGCAGAAGCTTCACATTTTACAACATTTTACAATTGGATTTATTAATGATACATTTAACCTAAAAATTTAAATGTATAAATCTTGGTAAAAAATGTCTGCCAGAAAGAATACTTCCTAAATTAGAAGGAGCAGTTCTGCTAGCATTTCAGAAGCATTACACATTAGCAAAGTGGATGTCCACATGCATTTATTTGTTGGCACAGATTGCATATTCTTCACAGGAAGCATCATGGTTGAAAAGTTAGCTTTTAGGATGCAAACATCCAAGAAGAAACAGTGCTATAAATTCTGCAGGTTTGCATTGGGTTTGGCAAAGGGTTAAGGAGATTGCCTTCCTGCAAATGGTGGCGGATTCTACATTTTCCAGCTAGGACTGTGTTGAAAAAAAGCAGTCAAAATCTGCTCTTAAGAACTCCAAACTGGGAGTCTGCAAGAAAGAGATAAATGCTGGCAGTGATTACAGTAACAGGATTAAAATGTAGGATGCATTGCTACAGGTAAGTCTTTTAGTATAGGTAATGCTAAAGAAGAGGATCTGGTTCCATTTAAAGTCAATGGAACTAATGACTGCGATCCTGGATTGAAAAAGGATTTTTTTTTCCTTCATATGTTTTAAATACTTTGTGTTTTTTTCCAATTTCTTCTTTAAGAATCTCAGTCCTATTTATTTTGCAGCTCTGATTTATCTTACAGAGCCCTGATACTTTCTTTCAACGTTAAGAATCCAACTGAGAAAATATACGTTAGCAAACCTACCAACCTCAGCAGAATTTCAGTAGTGTGCTACAACTGCAATTGCAACAGGAGCCCTCTGTTAAGCCAATTAAGGTAACAGCAAAATAATAATAGTCTGAATTAGTCTCCACCATGGATCTCAAAGGACTTCAGAAATATTAAGGGCCACTCTGACTCATGCTGAACAGTAAGCAACTCCACTGAACATAACAGGCTGACTTTTGAAACAAGGTACTATTCAATGTGATTAAAAGCACGTGGATAAGAGTCTAACCCACTGTGATTAGGCCTGTGTGGATGAACACAGACAGACATGAGATTGCTTCATTTGCGGTCCGACTTGGAAAGGTGTAACTCAGCTGCTACCCAGAGGCCAAATTAATACAGTGCTGATTTTGAGCTGATGTGCCCTGCTAACGTGAGTATGCAGAGGAGGGGGCAGGTGGTTTTTGTCCCGCCTGGATACACACGTCCTGCAAGTCTCCTAGACCTCTTGTGAAAAGAAGGGATTTAGAACAAAAGAGGAAGAAACAACCTGTCTGCTCACTCAGGCTGGAGCTAAAAGCCATGCCTGCAGCATACTGGTGGGTATTGGATGTGTTGAACTGTATCCACTGCAGAGGAAGTGCTGCTGAGCTGCTGGACTGTGGGACCGACCGAAGGTCAGCTCTACAGAATGGAAAAGCCCTCATGGACTTTGGCGGGCTATGGTTCTGGTTATGTCACATTTTGCACATTTCCCAGAAAAAAGTAATAGAAGATGATTTTAAATCCACCCTGCATTTGAAGTGCACCTCTGTTTATGCAGAACAGGATGATTATTTTAAAACTTGATAGCACAAATACAGCTCACGGCAGCAAGCAAAGAAATCTAACTGCTGTAACACTTTCATTTTCTGTAACTTCCAAAGCAGACAACTCCCAGGTCACCGGATTAATGCAGATTCAGAGGAGAGAAAAGAAGCAAACATTTCACCAACTATAATCCCACTGAATCCTTTTCAAGTCAGCATCTGGGCTCTGCTAAGTCATCCCTCCTGCATTAGAAGCACCTTTCACATCACTAGATGCAGAAGGCCACACCACTCCATTGCAACGCAAGGAAAGAGCCCAGGTTGTACAAACATGCTACAAAATGGTACACACAAATGGCAAAAAAGTGTCAGTTACAAAGCAAATATGTACCACTTAGAGAACAAAATAATGCTACCTGTCATTAATGATATTGTTTAAAAAGTCTTCAGAACAGCTGGGCTGGTTATGTCAGAAAAAGAGAAACAGTACCACAAACACATGCTAAAGTAACAAAGAAGCGGGGAAAAGTGCAAATATATACCTGTTGGTGTGAAGGTAAAAGACGGGACTGAAAAATCAAAACAAAATACAAACTGGTTATTAAGCTGAAGAGAGAAAGGGAAACATACCACATTAGTATAAATCTAGCAGACAGCTGAACATAAGACAAATGTATATAACCCAGTAGTTCAGTCACATTGACATAGGTATAAAATTAAATTTGTGATTCAGAAAGAAGCTTGTCTCTGCAGGTACCATTCTGAAAAAATGTATTATTCTATTGTGCTCCTGATCTTCTATGATATTCTATTGTGCTTCTGAGGGGACTGGACTGTGGCTTAGCCTTTCAAATACCCCTCAGTTATTTTAAGGTATTATAAGTTGTTCTGAAAATCCTAGGACAAACAAAAACCCCACACTGTTAATCATTTTAGAATGCAGAATGACAAATTCCTTAACAAAGCCTTATCAAGGTCCTATTGAATCTTATCTGCAGTTCACTAAGCAAATGCTCATTACGCTGAACTAATAAGCACACTTAAGTATTCAGTAAGGAAATAATAAGCATATAAAGGAACAAAGAGAACTGCTGTTTTACTGTCTCTGAATCAAGAATGGCACCAACTCTCACTGTAATAAAGGCACTAAAATCTACTGCAGCAATTAATTTTTGTTTTCATAGACGAGACTGTTCAACAGAGTTATTATTTTTCTTTCTTAAATAACCACAAAAAAAGGTAAAAGATCTTCCGAGACCTTTCCACCTTTCAACCCTTGGCTTTACGAGGGAAAGGTTAACAACGGAACAATGACATTGCTTGACAATCTTCATTCTCACAGCTACTATAAATCCTCTTTGGATCAATAGGGTCTCTAATCCAAACACAGGGCACTAGCACCTCCTCCTGCTATCAGCACATGCTCCCCCTCCTGTTGACAAGACAGTATAGTTTTTCTGTCACTGATGGGCAGAAAGAGGCTAACACCGCCCTTTTCGATCTCTTCACAGCAAAGAGAAATGCAAGAGAAACAACAACATATTCACTAAAAGTAGCCTTGAGATAGAAATTGATCAGCAAACCTGGCACAGAAGGAAAAGGTTCTGGCTAAGAGAACAACTGCTTAATCTAATTTTTACAGTAACTACGATGTTTTGGGGGGCGTGCAGAGTATCTTGTTATAATTTAAGATATGCTGCAGTTTTTCCCTCCTTCTGCCAAGCCAATTTATTTCCAGGGATATGACACTAAGCAAAAAAAAGAAAAACTTCTGAGCATTTGTCAATCTCAGGCTTCATTTGCAGCACAGCTCTTTATCTTGGGAATTCCACTGTATTTTCTTTGAGCTAGGCCTTTTCACACAGTCGAGTTTAATTTAGCTACATTAAAAAATATAGAACCATCGTAACAAGCTTTCATTAAAATAGAAGGTGCATTTAAACCAGAGCTATTCAAAAGAGAATCAAGTGTCTCAAAATTAATTTGCAGTCACAAGGACATGAAAAAAAATCTTAAACTACTGTCTCGTTACTCTCCTGTGAGCGAAACACTAAACCTAGTTTAGTTTTTTAAGGAATTGAGGAACAGATGAACAGAGCTCGGCTAAATGAAATCTTTATCGCTACCACATGAAAGAACAACTTAATTCTCAGAGCTTCTATTAATAACCTCTTCTGAGTGTGTAAGAGTGCTAGCACACTATGTATGTGTGGGAGTAGTGAAGTATTTTAACAGATGTCAGGCCTGAAGCTATATCTAAAAATAAATAAAATAAATGTAAGAATGAAGAAAGTTTGGGCTTGCAGTCATGACTTCATGCACTGCAAAGCTTTTTTCCTTGAAGAATACTTGATAATGGAGATGCAGACCCTACTTTTCTGTGTATTTTCATTAAAATCCCAACCAAATTACACAAAAGATATTTTTACAGATATTGAAAAACACAGCTGTTTTGAACAATGGCTGATGTTATTAAAGTAATCATTTTTAAGGACAAATTGTATGCCTTTTGCTTAATCATAGGTACCGCTGAAAGCACAGTGATGTTAGTTTGATAGAACTGTAGAAAGGCAGTATGGCAGCATGCTATTAGTAAAACAAAACAGCGCAGGCAAATGCAGCAGTGTCAGGGTCTGTCTTATCTAAGAAATCCTAGCAGAACAAAATCAAAGGTGAAATACATCCCCGATTTCTGCGGTTACAACTTTGCTCCAACCACCTGTGCCTGACGTCTACCACAAGCATCGATACTTTAATAGCACAGAGGACACATAAACTCTGCAACACTCCAGAACTACTTCCATGTTTCCACTCACTCAGTTGCTATTTTTAGCACTGCTTCTTTTTCCCAGTAACACACTGCTACTGTTTAAAAATATTTGTGTTATATTCGCCTGTCTTGCCCATCACACATTCACTCGTGAAGTGACTAAAAATGTGAATCTCACGACACCTTTCATACATTAAAATGTGTGCACCTTTTAAGCCTATGTTTATCTTCTGATTGCTAAATATCAAACATTCTCCCTCTATTCCTTCAAAAGCAGGGTCTCCCACTTTCTGATTCATTCCAGAACTTACGGTTCCCACTCTATGAGTGCCTGTGAGGTACTGCTTTGAGATGTAATGAATTGTAGCTTATTGAATTCAGCTTTAACTTCGTGGGTTAATCAAAAGATTCTTGAATCAGAAGAAATCATGTTTTTACTCCAGAAGATCTTCCAAGTAGAGATTCTAGCTTTGTTTGTAACAGAGTATACTGTAAAGTACTGTTTGCCTGCTGACAAACTTATATAAAAGGTATCAATAACATGAAAATGAAGAATGCTTTAAGTTAGTCCCAGTGCTGCCATTCTAACCAAATGCAGATGGCAAGATGTGATAGCCCCAGAATTCAGTCCCAACGAAAGGTCTCACAACAGTATTTATGAAAGAGTCTTGGAAAGTATTATTGACTGTTGTGGTTTTGCAAACAGCCACTTCACCGCATTCCCCCAGAACACCGGGAAATTCAAGTACACACACCAAAAGCGCTACTGTAATGTACACCACGGTTAGTATTCTCAGCAGCAAGCACAGGGCTGAACAAGAGGGACAATGGACTACCATCCACTTGGCTCCTTTTCAGAGGGTACAGTGTCAGGTAGCAAGGGCATACTGGAAGCTCCCAACCTTAAATCCATCTTTACATCTCACTTGTAGGAGTATCTTTAGGAAAAGCTAGTCTAGGTATTTTGCTAAAGGCTTATGCTGTAAAGCCAGGTTTAACAGGTTATGTAAGAATTGCTGCTTTCTGCATTGCCTTCTGATCCACACTTCCCCAAAGTATTGCAGTAATTTGATAATTCCTGCATGAAGTCTTAGAAGAACAAGAGACCCATGATAAATAGCCAGTAAACAGGCATTCAGCAGCCAGCAGAATGAAATATATAATATGGCACCTTTTCTGATACCAGCATAAGTACTAGTGAGTCCATTTCGCTTCTTCCTGTGGCGATACAACCAGATGCTGAAGACCATAAGGATAATCCAACAGGCTGCACCGATTCCAGCAATAAAGGCAGGCTGCTTTACTACATCAGATATCTGCTGGGCTAAACTGACTTGATCTTCCGCAGACACAGGGTTTCCATGAGAATCTGAAAAAAAGACACCCAAAATAGTCAATTAATTTGAGTAAGCAACCATAAAAGACATCATGAAAAGAACTGACAGAACCACAATCCTGTTTTTCAAGATAAAAATCCTGCAGACTTCTCTTCAAAAGCTCTTTTTACAGGTCTGGATAGAAATGGTTTTTTTTCTGCACAAGACAGGTACCTCTAACTTCACTGACTTTTGTTTATGAAACCCACTAAAAATGTGGTTTGTATTGGGTCCACATTGGGATCAGTACTGTTTAATATCTTCATCAATGACATAGACAACAGGATCAAGTGCACCCTCAGCAAGTTTACAGATGACACCAAGCTGAGTTGTGCGGTCGACATGCCTGAGGGAAGGGATGCCAACCAGAGGGACCTGGACAAGCTCAAGAAGTTGGCCCATGTGAACCTCATGGGGCTGAACAAGGACAAGTGCAAGGTCCTGCACCTGGGTCAGGGCAGCCCCCAGTATCAATATGGGCTGGAGGATGAAGGGATTGAGAGCATCCCTGCCAAGAAGGACTTCGGAGTACTGGTGGATGAAAAGCTGGCCACGACCCAGCAATGTGCGATAACAGCCCAGAAGGCCAACCGTATCCTGGGCTGCATGAAAGCACCGTGGTCAGCAGGTCAAGGGAGGGGATTCTACCCCTCTACTCCGTTCTGGTGAGACCCCACCAGGAGCCCTGCATCCAGCTCTGGAGCCCTCAGCACAGGAAAGACATGGACCTGTTGGAGCGGGTCCAGAAGAGGGCCACGAAGACGATCAGAGGGCTGGAACACCTCTCCTGCAAGGAAAGGCCGAGAGAGTTGGGGCTGTTCAGCCTGGAGAAGAGAAGGCTGTGGGGAGACCTTATTTCGGCTTTCCAGTACTTAAAGTGGGCCTACAGGAAAGATGGGGACAAACTTTTTACCAGGGTCTGTTGCAATAGGACAAGATGTAATGGTTTTAAATTAAGGGAGGGTAGATTCAGGCCAGATATGAAGAGATTCTTCATGATGTGGGTGGTCAAACACTGCAATGGGTTTCCCAGAGAGGTGGTAGATGCCCCATCTCTGGAAACATGTAAGGTCAGGCTGGACGGGGCTCTGAGCAACCTGATCTAGTGGTCAATGTCCCTGCCCACTGCACGGAGGTTGGACTAGATGACCTTTAAAGGTCCCTTCCAACCCAAACTACTCTATGATTCTATGAAAATCAGGCCACTAGGCATACAAATAGAAAGTTAGGCTCATAAATTTCAAACTTGGGGACTGCCATTATTTTATCTTAGCACAACAACACCAGTTTTAGGAAATCATTCAGAAAGTCAGCAAAGAACACAGCAAGTGAAAGAAAGCTCAGGTATGAAACATGTATAGTCTGTTCTTTGAGCTCTGCAAATGTGTAGAAGTCAGCTACCCAAAATCCACTCATTACTAAAAATCTCAGAAGAATAACAAATTCTAAGTACATTCACATGAGGTTGGTATTGAGGGATGCATTTTAATTTAGCAGTTCCTGACAGGTGACTTAAATGTTGCATTACATAGTCTGAAGTATTCTTTGCAGTCTCTCACATTGACTGCAATGAAAAAAGACTGAAAATTTAAAAGGATGTAAAGAAGTACAAAATAGCCAATCCTGCCCTCTTGGTGTGGATGAAAAAGCCAAAGGATAACTGAAAAAACAGTTGCGAATTGGTAAAAATAGTCCAGCAGTCTCATCACTACTGAACAAGCAGCCCTTCCCAAAAACGGTTTATCTGTAAATATCTCACATCATAATAAGGAACATGTAGTTTTCCACACCCTTTTTTTTTTTTTTTTTTTTTAAAAGAATCACGTAGTTTTCCACACCCTTTTTTTTTTTTTTTTTGTAAATAGAGAAAGTATCTGTAAGAATTAACCTTTTCTGCTTTCAGTACTGAACTTTTGCAAGAACCTTCTAGGAACAGCAGTAAGAATATTCAGTTAGTGAGTTAGTGATCTATGCTTCCTAACTGCAATGAAGTAACTCACAGAAAAAATACTGCCTTCCTAATTTTTTTACCACTACAGTGAGCATTTACTGGAAATTTCATTACTGCTCAGGGTGAGGGCAAGAATTTGAAACCTTTACTCAGAGAGGATATTGCTTTACACATTCCATAGCTTAGTCATTGAAATAACCATTTTTACCCTTGCTTAAATCCTAAAGTTAGTTGCTTTTTACTATGGTTAATGACATCAGATTCAGAATGAGAGATTATAGTTTTAAGGAGAAAGGTATTGTTATTATTTCTATTAATATAAACTATATAAGAAATTAAAACTTATTTACTTAAAAACCAATACCTCTTCCCTATGAACTAGGCAGTGAATAGATTTTTTTTTTTTTAATGATGACAAGTCTTGCATTATTCCAAATTAGGTCTAACTAAAATAGAAGAAACTGTAACACAATCAGGATATGGAATCACAACAAATTATACAAATAACAAACCTCCTCTGGAAAAGGATACCTTTTTTTAAAGGGAAATGTTTAAATTAAAAGCAGCTTCTTCCAGTGAAGAAGTCCAGATTTCAGTTTTTGTGACATTGAGGTCAAATACCTATTTGGCTGAGGAATCACCACTGCCTTTGACTGTTACCTTATTGGTAATTTTATTTCATATTTCAGGTCCCTTTATCTTCTATGATCCTGAGTCCACTGCCTAGTCTAAAAGTTCACCAGGCAGACTCATTCTTTTCTTACTAATACGCCCTTTGTGTCTGCTGGGTTTATAGATTTCACGCCTATTTGTGCAAGGTTAAGATGGGTTGCTTCAGATTTTATGGAGACAGCCAAGTGAAGTTCCCCACAAGTGGCCAGATGGGCTTAAATGTATAAAGTATACTGTGACCAATGAATTAAATCTGTCACTCTCTATCTCATCCTTTGTCTCTTTGCAGCTGAGGCCATATTAAGATATGAAAACTTGCACCATCAGTCTCTTTTCAAAATCAGTAAGCCTACTATTTCTGTATTTTTAAACAGCTACACTACCTTGTACATCTTAACGGAACTGAACAAAAGATTTCTGGAGAACCTGTGGTCCTGAATAAACTTACAAGACTGATAAATATTTTTTCTCTAATCCTTTAAATATATATATTTAAAACAATAAACCCAGGGCAAAAAAATAATCACAAACCCAAAAGCCAAATAAGAATGATTTTTAAACATGTCAATAATTTTGCCACACAGAGGAGTAGTACTTTTATATATACAAACATTTTGCATTGCTCAGTCAATGAATGTCTGAAGATTACAAAATACTGAAGAACCTCTTCCAACATTTGTTGTTCTAATTTTTAATTAAGATTCATTTCATGGTATTATTTTGCTAGCCATTGCAAGCGTAATAACGGAATAATAATATATTTACTTTTAAGAAACTAGGTTTATAGCATGTTGTACATGGGTGGACTGTTAGAGACATTACACTAGATTAGCTGGTATATATTTGTGCATTTGTTCATATACCAGCATATAAACAGCACAGAAAAGACAATGGAAGGGCTTTCAAGAGGCCACATTTGACTCCTGTCCTGCTCCTCTTCTAATTCAAAAATAAAAAGTGAGCTAAAGCAAAGGGAATGAAATCTAGTGAACCCCTCCTTACTAAAAAATTCCAGGAACAGTACCTTGGAAACTTTTCTTTGAGAAGGGCATTCTTCCCTCTCCATAACAGCCATGTGAGATTCTGAATGATTAGTCAGGAAAAAACCTCTTGAACTAAAAAAAGTACTTTTTCTTCATCTCAGGAAATTTCTGGAAGCTTTGACTGTTATCTAAATGGTTCTTAATCAAAATTCCTGTTCTTGCTTGCACTCCTCGGGGAGACGTGCCAAAATAGTAAGTGAACATAAACATTCTACGGCAAAGTGCATCTCACTGCCAGAGCAGCAGCCGCAGCGTTTAACGTACTTGAAAATGTCTCAGAGTTGTTGGAGCAGGCTGATCCCACAACCCCCTGAAACCAGCATATTATCATAGTGACTCATCCCCTCTGCTTCTAACCCAAGATAAAAGCCTTCTTTTTAATCACAGATGATGTTTCTATGGCTATTGCTGACAAGCTACCTGATCTGGCTGTCTTGAAGCTCCAAATTTCAAACTTCAGTGAAAACTAATTACAATTTACATCAAAAAGAATTGGGACCTCTAATTCTCTAATGTTAAATCTTCATATAAATAATAATAATAATGAAAAAACTAACATTTGTTGAATGCTAAATAAAAGATTTACGATTAAGATTGGACTGCCAAAGATCCAAAAACGGCAGGAAATTCCAGGTTCACAGGTGTGCAGGCAATCTTTTTGCCCTGTACGTATACAACCTATGGAACGGTACTTTTCCATATGCCTGTCTCATTTAGTATACAAAATGTACAAACAATAAGCAGGAAGATCTAAATTTTCTTGTCATTGCTAATTCTGGCAATTCAAAATTGGGAAACATCTGGAATCTGCAACATAAGGTACATCAGCCAGGACAGGAAGGTCAAAGAAAGCGTACCCCTCCCCGCCCCCAATGAGCAAGACTGGCAAACTGGTACCCATGGGCGAGGAGAAGACTGAGGTACTCAACAACACTTTTGCCTCAGTCTCAAGTGGCAAACTCTCTTCCCACAGCTCTTGAGTGGATGGACCCCAAGATGGGGACGGGGAGAGCAAAGTCCCTGCCACTGTAAGGGAAGATCAGGTCCGTGACCATCTGAAGAAACTGAACATACATAAGTCTATGGGACGTGGGGGAAGTGGGGTGTTGTCATTCCAAAGCCACTGTCCATCATATCTGAAAAGTCATGGCAGTCAGATGAAGTCCATGGTGACTGGAAGAAGTGCAACAATTTGCCCATTGTTAAAAAGGGTAGAAAGGAGGCCCCTGGGAACTACTGACTAGTCAGCCTCACCTCTGTGCCTGGAAAGAATGTGGAACAGGTCCTCCTAGAAGCTATGCTAAGGCATATGTAGGACAGGGAGGTG